AGGGAGCCTTTAACTAACCACACTTGGCTCTCCAAGTTTGATTGTCCTAGGTTCAATCATTCATTTGCTGGAAAAGTTGGAATTTTCAGGTTTCACTTGGTTTTGCCCTATTGGATGAATGGAGTTTAACCTGGAAATTAAACACGGATTGTGCTAGTTCTAGAAACTTCACACACTCTGTGAGTTCTCAGTGAGGGCAGTGTGGTTTGTTCCTACTTGAAGTAGCCCTAAGCACAAGCACGCAGGAACACTTTTACGTTCAGCACTATAGGGCTAGTGTTAGAATTAATGTTAGGGTTAGGGTTAGGTTTGCTCAGAATTCTTTAATACTGGGAAGGATTCATGCTTTTTCAGGCATACTAGGCTCTCCATGTTTGGGCCTTCTAGGTTCAATAATTTGCTGTCAGGAACAGTTTGAATTTTCAGGTTTCACTACATCTTGCCCTATAGGGGTGAATGAAAATTGAGCTGGAAATCAAACAGGGTTTGTGCTAGCTGCTTGAAACTTTACACACTCAATCACTTCTCAGTGTGCAGTCTCTGGTTTGTTCCTTGTGGAAGAAGCTCTGAGCTGAAGCATGCAGAAGCAACTTTATCGAAGAGCACTTTAGAAGCAACATGGAAATACACATGTACTGAAATACCYCCCCCAGTATTTTAGTTGGATATCTTTGATACTCAGCAGGTTTCATGTGTTAGCTTGCCCCACTAGGCTCCTCAAGTTAGAAAATTCTAGGTTCAATGGTTCCATAAACAGGTTAGGTTAAGTGTTAAAATTAGGCTTAGGGCYACAGTTAGATTTAGCCTTAGGGCTAGGGTTAAGTTTGGTCAGATTTCTTGGACACTGTGCAGGATTCATGCTTTACCTAGCCTTACTAGGCTCCCCGTTTTTGCTACTTCTAGGTTCAATAGTTCACTGTCAGGAACAGTTTGAATATTCAGGTTCCACTTCATTTTGCCCTACAGGGTTGAATGAAAATTATGCTGGAAACAAACAGGGTTTATGCTAGCTTTTTGAAACTTCACACAGTCAATCAGTTATCAGTGCACACTCTGATATTTTCCTTGTGGAAGTAGCCCTAAGCAAATGCACGCAGGAACAACTTCATCTGAGAGTGCTTAAGTAGCAAGGAGAAAAATACACATGTACTAAAATTCCTCTTCCAAAATTTGGTCGAATATCTTTGATACTGCACAGGATTTATCTGTTAGATTTTCCCACTAGGCTTCCTTAGTTTGGAATTTACATTTAATGGTTCTCTAAAAAAGTTATGGTTAGGGTAAGGGTTTGAGCTAGGGTTAGATTTAGCATTAGGATTAGGGTTAGGTTTGGTCAAATTTCTTGGATACTGAGCAGGATTCATCCTTTTCCTATTGTTACTAGGCTCCCCAAGTTTTGGACTTCTAGGAGCAATGGTTCAAATGTCAGAAACAGTTAAATTTTCAGGTTTCACTCTTTTTGCCCTTTATGGGTGAATGGAAATCCACATGAAAATCAAACAGAGTTTTGTGAGCTTCTTAAAACTTTACTCACTCAATCAGTTCTCAGTGCACACTCTCTTATTTTTTCTTGTGGATGTAACCCTAAGCTTTAGCAAGCATAAAGAACTTTATATGAGAGCACTTTAAAACAAACAGGGAAGTACCCATGTACTGAAATACCTCCCTTAGTTTTGGGGTCAGGTTTCTTTGAAACTGTGCAGGATTCATCTNCACGCATGATGCCAGGCGAGCGCGCTACCGCTTGAGCCACATCCCCAGCCCAATATTTACTTTTTTGCTGTTACTTTTATTTTTTCACAAAACAGATTTATTTTCTTCTTGTTAAGATTACCTATTTGTATTTAAAATTCAAATGAGACAACCAACTATAAAGAAGATAGTATATGGGCTGGGGGTGTGGCTCAGAGGTAAAGCGAGCGTTCACCTACCATGCGTGAGGCACTGGGTTCGATTCCACCACATAAAAGTAAAATAAAGATATTGTGTCCACCTATAACTAAAAAATAAATATAAAAAAAGAAGATAGTATATGGTAGAATTTTCAATTCTCAGTCATACACAGTGTTGAATATGCCACTGGATATTTTAATATAATTATAATATGTATGTATAATATATGTATCTCTTTATATACATAATAATCATAATACCATGGCAGTCGTTCAGAATCTCTGAGACCTGAGCATATGTTTTTAAATTCCCTTAAAAATAAAAACATCCATTTAAATCATGATAATAATTTGATATATAGCTTTCTAAACCTTTTTCTATGCATTTACCCCCTTCCTCTTTCCTTTTTCTTTTGTGGTATTGTAGCTTGAGCCTGGGGCCTTGTGCATGGTAGACAAGTACTCTACTGCTATGTCCCACTCTTCCCTCTTTCTTTAAATTTTAGACACACAAATACATTTGGACATAAATAAGTTTGTTTTCAAAATCATCCTATACATATTTCTTTATAATTTACTTTTTTACTTAACAATACATCACAGACAGCTTCCCATTTCAGTTCCCATAGCTCTGCCTCATTCTTTTACATTTAATTTTTTTTCCTCTATAAAATGCCAGGTTTCCTCCAATGGTTGTGCTGATTCTTCCCCACCAAAACTACTATTTCCCCCTATCCTCACCAATACCCAGAATTTTCTTGCTTTAAATTCTTTTTTAAAACTGAAAGGTAAAAAAAAAAAAATGACATATTCTGGGTCTTTAAGGTTTTGCATTTTTTTCAATGGTTTTAAGGCGGAATATATTTTCAAATGTATATTGCACATTTAACCACTCTTTTTAAAATTTCATGCTCTTTATCTATATTTTAATACAAAAGTCTTTTCTATTCATAAAAGTTTTTTTAAATATAGCTATTTCTTGTTATATAAATTGAGAACTTTTTGCTTTTTGTGTGTCTTCCAGCATTCTTTGAGGTTATTTTGATACCCCAGTTTAAAAAACATTTTTTTAAAGATCAGATTTGTCAATCTTGCTAGATTTAATGCCATGCTTTGTTTTCTTAGTGAAATAAAAACTTATTTTTTTTTCTATTAGAAAGGCAGGCCATGCTCATTGTAAAGACCTTCAAAAACAAGGGGAAAAACAGTCACCAGTTATCTTTCTACTCAGATATAACTATGGGAAGCCAAAATTTTGTTGTACAATCTTTCTTATAAATGTTCAGGCTCATAAGAGATTAGAGATGGAAAGAACCCAATAGATTATACAAAGAGAATGAAGAATAGATTTAAAACTGTAATAATGTCTCCTGGGATGCAAGCTTCATGAATTATAACTTGGCTGACTCTTTCTCTCCAGCCCTGGGCACCCACTAGATTAGTGGCTGTTGGGGACACGAGGCTAAGCTAAAGACTTTCTAGTCTTGCTGTTCGTGACCTGGGTAGTGCTGGGCACATGAAGGAACTCTATACCTGTTGGTGACTAAATGAAGTTTTCTTGAATCTACCACTTGCTCCAGTATTTTATGTGTGTGTGTGTGTGTGTGTGTGTACGTGTGTGCATGCATAATTTTGTATATTTGAATTTAGAGGCATCTAGAACTTGATTGTTTTATTAAAATTTCTTTTTGCAGAAGTAGACAATGTGGCCCAATGTCACATTCATCTTGCACAGACTCTAAGAGAGGAAGCCAGGAAGATGGAAGATTTCAGGGAAAAGCAGAAGCAACAACGGAAAAAGGTTGGATTTGTGCATGTGTTCAAATGCTGCCCTCGCTCTGCAGAAACCTCTGGGTTTGTCTGTCATTAAACTTCTCAGCTTAGCTCTAGTCCACACAGTTGTGTTCTTTCTAACCTGAGAACTTCTTTACTGGAGTCCCCTTGGGGGACTTGGACTCCATCTAGGTGGCTGTGCCTCTGCACTGTTTCTGCACTCCAGACCAGTCCTCCTTTTAGAAATTCTTGCAGGATTCAGGAGTCTAGCTTGCATTCCTCTTCTTTCAGATCTGCTGCCATATTAAAACTATGGCTGGAGGGGGGCTCCTGACAAATTCAGGCCAGAGGGCTTCCAGACCACACTTCAGGGGAAAGCATCAAGGGGAGGGTGAAGTAGTGGAGGAAGCTCATGCTCTCTCTGAAGTCCATCATGCAGTCGAATGCTCTTATTTTACAGAGAAACTGGGGCACTGGGAAATCCAAGTTTTTTTGTTTGTTTGTTTGTTTTTTGTTTTTTTAATCTCTGGAGCACATTGCATAGGCTCTTTTCCATTGCCAGAATTTATACTAACTACATGGAAGGAGATGGAAGCAAACAAGAATTAATAAAACTGGCAAATGTTTGGGAAGTTATAGAAAAGAAGCCCAAGACTTATATGAAAGTATTACTTGGACTAGACCAACCACATTTCTGACTCCTTTTTATTTTGTTTCTGAAAGGCTTGTATATTCATACTTGACCCTACAGTCAAGTATGGCCCTTCTAGAATTTCTTTCTATATTTGGGCTTCAAAACTGGAGCCCTGGCCTCACACATGGGACAAAGGCTTTCCTCTCTGGCATCCAAAGATTAATTCCCCCCCAGGTCCTCTGGGACATCTCTGCATGGTCTTTTGGTGACCTCTTGCACCTTTTCTGGAGGTCCTGTTGGAACCTTTCTGTATCCTGGTTTTTCATGGTCCCCTGAGATTGTCTGAAGTATTTGTATCCAATAAACAAACTATTAAGGCTGATTCTACCCTTACCTCCTTCTCAGCAATTGGAATCTAGATCTGATTTCCTTGATAGCACTGGTGTCTGGTGTCTGGGTAGCAACAGTATCTTTAGTATCTTTTTTTTTTTTTTTTTTTTTTGGTACCAGGGATTGAACTCACGGGTCCCTAACCACTGAGCAACATCCCCCAGCCCTTTTTGTATTTTATGTAGAGACAAAGTCTTGTTGAGTTGCTTAGTGCCTTGCCAGGTTGCTGAGAGTTGTTTTGAACTGGCGATCCTCCTGCCTCGGCCTCCGGAGCTGCTGGGGTTCCAGGCCTGTGCCACTGCGTCCAACCAGGCAGCAGTATCTTAAGGGCCTGCCTGCGTTGCAATTATGGTCATTTTGTGAAATGCTTTTATCTTAGCATACTGCTGCCCCTTCCCACTTCACAGCCTGTACTTCTAAGGGAAGTACCATGAATATTTAAGGAATACCATATCAAACCCTTTCATACATTCCCTCAAGCTTCATGAGTCAGGCTTGTGGGGTGCATCTGTCCCAAGCCTGTTCCTGAGCAAAAATAGCACATTTATCACACCCATTGAATGGCCAGACTCTTGTGCCCGACATTGCCCCTGCCACCTCTCTAGAGGAATTACAATTTTTCAGAAGCAAGAAGCCTTAGACCACAAGAGTATGCACACATGATTTCCACTCTGAGGAGATGAAGTGACATTTCCTCATGTTCTCAAGTGTCTTTGACAGACCCGGTCCTTTTAGGGAGGGTTTTGTTGATTTTGCAAGGTTTCTGAAACTTCCCCTCCTAACAATTTGCACAGACCAAATTGTTATAGCTTGAAAAACACGCTCTGAATTCTGTTAGGCAATAGAGTAGCATATGCTCAATCAGCTGCTATCATCCGAGTTCCCTCTACAGCAGGAAAATACCTTCAGAGCTCTGACGAGTCCAGAGTTCATTAATAAACTTGTAATTACTTGTATCCATGAACTCTGGACTTGCACCACTTCTGTGTTTAGGTATTTGATTGAAAAAATTAAACTTTAGAAGGAATGCTTCAGTACTAACTTCTTGTTTATTTATTTATTTATTTATTTATTTTATTTTTTATTTTTTATTGGTTGTTCAAAACCTTACAAAGCTCTTGACATATCATATTTCATGCATTAGCTACTAACTTCTTGTTTTTTGATGGTCAAAGTTTGCATGTTTGGGACTTCCACTTCTTGGAAATTAAGCCATTTCCACTTTCTTTATTGAAGAAAACTATCGGTTGGTTTCTTTTAGAAACCTGGGGCAGAGGTGGTGTGAGTGAAATGGCTTCTCACTCAGACAACTGATATTTACAAAGTAGCCACTTCAGTAATTTACTACAGGGTTATTTGGATCATTTGAAAATATCTTCCTCCTTTCCCCCTCCCTCTGGCTCCTCCCACCCTAGGATGATGGTGTTTTTGCACTCCTTTGTGTTATCAATCATATAACACACCCAAATTCCTGCTGAATTTAGTCTAAACAGGAAGTCTGAGTCCTAGAAGAGACACTTCTCCAAAAAGACCTGGAAGAGAACATTTGATTCATTGGAGTCACCATCAGTAGGCCACCCTATAAATGAATATGGACAGAAGGAGACTTAAGACAGTGTAGCAGGCAGAGGTGAACCTGAAGTCTCGCCACTAACTCACTGAATAGCCCTCAGCAAAATAAATCATCTCTTGGTCCCCACGGATCCTGCTTGTCAGGTTAGAGTTGGATTGCTGCCTTCTAGGATCCTGTCAACTTTTAAATGCCAGGAATTCCTGAAGCCAGAGGGAGGAATAATAGGAAGTGGAAAGGTTTGGCTGGTGGGGGAAGCTGTAACCCCTGAAAGGTGCTTGAAACAGGTGCTGTGTAGAACTTGGAGATAAAGAGATCTATCTTGGGTCACCAATTATAAAACAGTAGCAGCTTCCAAGTGGAAGAGTGGCAGTGTGTATATTTGAATTAAAAGGAACTTGGCATTGAATGACATCACCAACAGATCAGCTCATGTAGCGTGGAAAAATTAGGAATTATTAAATAAATCAACCCAGATCCACTACCTGGTAGAGGGAAGTAGTCACACATGTAGACCACAGCTCCTTGCCTGCCATCTGCAATGTGTCTTTCCAGGTGGGGCTCATATTGGAGCCCTTCTCTCTGTGTATCTGCTGTCTTTCAACATGAGCAGGTGAATGGCCATCTCCTGACACTTCTCTTTTGTCTGGCCTGGAAGACGACTGCTAGGTTCTCTGAGGGCCCCTTGGGGCACTCCCAAGGGAATTTCATGTACTCCACAAAGCTCATATTTGAAGTGAGGCCATCTCAACTAATCCATCCAAATATCACAATACCCATGTTTGTGTAAATGGACAGAAACTTAATTTTTATGTATCCACAGGGAAACACATTTGAATTTCATTTTCAGTATTATTTTTTTCATTCATTTTGTACAAAATCAAAATCAGTGCTCATTTTGAATTGTTGCATCTCCATATATATATATATATATATATATATATATTAACATTTTTGGTATTATAGTGCTATCACAAGGATAATGGTAGATTAGGGTAATGATAAGGAACAAGGGCTCTGGAGTCAGGCTCCTGGGTTCAGATTTCAGCTCTGTCACCTGCTGACTATGTTACTTTGGGTAAGTTATCCAAGTTCAGTATCTTCAGGGAAATGGAGATTATAGTACTTAGAGCTGTGATGCATGAAAACTGCTTAACATAGAAGTGCTTGATATATGGGAGTTACTATGGTTATGTCCAAGAGGTACATCTTTATTGCTAGCACCATTCTTTTGATTAATAAAAGTATTATCATTATCAGTACAATGAAGAAATTACTTCCAAGTAAACTTGATGGAGGGGTTTCCCTTTGCTGGGTGAGATAGCTTTTCTCAGCTGTCCTACAAACACTTCTTCCCTGCATATTGTCTGGACACCTTTTGGTAAGGGGTATGTCATTGAAGGCCATAGAAATGAGTGCTTATAAGCCCCTAATTTAACTGTGTAGACATAGGCTTGCAGAATTTAGACTTTTTTTTTTCAGTACTAGAAATTGAACCCAGGGGCACTCTATCCTAGAGCTACATTCCCAGCCTTGAACTTGTGATTCTCCTGCTTTAGTCTTCGGAGATAAGACCTATCTTGGGCCATAGGCATCACCATGCCTGGCTTAAAGATTCCCTTTAAAATATAAATGATACTTTAGTAAAAATTTTAAAATTCCTCTGTGAATTCGAAGTTCCTTGATTTCAGGAACTCTACTGAAGGCAGTGCTCTAAGGTGATCAGCCAGTCTCCGTTGTCCATGTTGAACTTACTGATGATCCATGTTGAACACTTAGATCTCAAGAAAAGCTGGTATTAATAATAATTTGTTTTTATTAATAGTGCTTATACTTTTTTTTTCACAGACAGAGACTGTCATGGATGCTGCCCATAAGCAAAGGAATTTACAGTTCAAGAAAACCATGGATGTGAGTTATACTCTTGTGCTTCTCATTTATCTATCTATCTATCTATCTATCTATCTATCTATCTATCTATTTATTGTAATGGTGACATTTTCTGAAATACTGTGCTTTGTATGAGCATCTTCCTATTCAAACAAAATCTCAATGTTATTATTTATTCTTGTGGTGTTTTAAGGGAAACAGTTTTTACCAGTTTGGCTTTCCTTCTTTTTAAGGCCTTGGAAAGCTTGAAAATTAAACAAGATAGTGGAAAATACAATGGTATTATCTTTTTGGTAACCTTGGGAAATAGAGCGAGTCAATTTAAATATTTTAGGTTAAGACACAAAAAACATGCATATATACAATGCCATTTATCTTGTGGTACTGGAGTTTTTACTATGTGGTTATTTTGAATCTTGATTGTTTGCCTGTTTCACTGAGTGACACTTTCATCTTTTAAGATATATGGAAATTGTGAAAGCCTTCTCTCCTTTAAGTAATTTACAAAAAATTCTAGGCAAGATAGAGGTAAGATAGTTGCTAGGGATTTCACTCTAGCTTTACACAAATCTGTTAACTCTGGATACAATTAATTCTACCATTAGAACATACATATGGCTACATCTTTTTTTTTTTTTTTTTGTACCAGGGATTGAACTCAGGGGCACTCAACCACTGAGCTACATCCCCAGCCCTATTTTGTATTTTATTTAGAGACAGGGTCTCACTGAGTTGCTAAGCACCTCGCTGTTGCTGAGGCTGGCTTTGAACTCACGATCCTCCTGTTTCAGCCTCCAGAACCACTGGGATTACAGGCATRTGTCACAGCACCCGGCTATGGCTAMATCTTTGTAAGATGTATCTTCATGATATTCTGACATGGCATAAAAGTGTCGGTGACACGAGAGCAGGAGTCTGTTCTGCTACATTTCTTTAATCTTTGATGAGATCTCCTTGGAAGCAATGGATAAATGAGGAATAATGTCAATATAGTGAAGAACTAGTATGGGTGAATATAAGACTTCCCCCAGACTGTCTGTGTTTTGAATAATCTGGGGCAAGTAGTCTCACAATTAAAGAGACAGCTTTATCAAAATATAATTTTCTTAATTATTTCTTCTACCCACACATAGAGTCATATCAGTGTTAGCAGTTTTTGCCAATGCCCTGCCCTGTAGCCATCATCTGCAGGTTCCCCCTCTGAATTCCAAGTCATTRATTCATTTACTGTTCTCTTGTTCTGTCTCTAATCAGGGCTTCACATCTCTCAGTGAGAAAAAGGGAGGTTTATGAAATGAAGAAGAAATGACAATGGGTTGTAAAAAGTACAGTTTATTTGTATCTATTTAGAGGATGGAGTATTTTATGTCTTCAATTTCCATATCTTTTATAGCCAAGTTGCTTAAATATGAAATGCATTTCTTAAGCAAAAACTTGGGTCTAGCTGGGTGTAGARGCATATGCTTGTAATCCCAGTGGCTCAGGAGGCTGAGGCAGGAGGATCTCAAGTTCAAAGCTTGCCTCAGCAATTTAGTGAGGCCCTAGACAACTTAGCGAGATCCTGTTTCTAAATTAAAAAAATAGAAATGGCTGAGGATGTGTCTTGGCTGGTGAGTGCCCTTGGGTTCAATCCCTGGTTAAAAAACAAACAAACAAACAAACAAACTGCAGAGTAGAGTGAAAGAAGACTATTGTAGTTACCTATTTACTTACCATGTTCTTTTTCTCCTTCTAATGTTCCAAGGTTTCTTCCTATATGGTTAAGTTTTTGATTTTTTTCTTTTAGCTTCAGATAGGTCTGGATCCCAGGTCCATGAGTGTTAGATCTTTTCTCTTTGTGCCAAAGGACCCTGRGGCTTTTTATTATTTTTTTCAGCCTATTTCTTCTCTGTTCATATTAGGTGATTCTACTATTTCTCTTTCAGATCATTGATTCTTCTGTCTTTCTCTTGTTAAGCCCATCCATCAGGTTTTTGTTTTTTGGTTATTGAATTTTTTTTTTTGCTCTAAAATTTCCATCTTGTTCTTCTTTATATGATCTATTTCTTGGCTTTTCTAGTTCTTTGCCAATACTATGTATTTTTCATTTGTTTCAAGTGTACAATTGCGTACTGAATACTTTTATAAGGGTTGCTTTAACATTTTTGTCAGATAATCTGACATCTCTGTCACCTTGATTTTGGCATCTGTGGATGACCTTTATTTTTGTTCAATTTATTATCTTTCTTGTTGTTGGTGTGAGTGGTATGAGTGACGTTTGATTGATTTTGGACATTCTGGGGTTCTGTTACAAGACTCTGGATCTTATTTCCACCTTCTGTGTTAGTTGGCTTCCTCTGACACCCTTCTGGCAGGGACAGGTTGGACACTGCCTTTTCACTGCTGTATGAGGGTCCAAGTCCAGGTCCCCCCTTGTTTTTTGCTGACCCCAAAGAGTGGATGTGGCCCTTTTAGGACTGGAGGTGGTTGAAGTTCTGATTCTTCATTAGATGTTCTCTGCCACCACCTGGGGTGGGGGCCACCTCAGCATTGCCCTTTGGGGGTGGAAGTCTAAACTTCCCACATAGCTGCTACTGGTACCCTGATTGTGTGGCTTTRTTACCTCCTGATGTGAATGGAAGTCTCAGTTCTCATTTGTCTTTCAGTATTGCTGACTGGGTAGGGGAGTAGGTGCCTCTTGGCAGCCYCCTCTGGCCTTTGCTGGCACGTGTCCAGGTGGGGCCTCAGTGTTTTCTTTGGCGTTTAGCTGCAGTAGATGGTTATCTTCATGTTCCACTAGGCTGCCCCTTTTCTGGTCTTTTTGGCTATAGAGAATAGGCTTTGTTGGGCTTATTTTGCTGTGATCACTGTTATTTCTGGGTGTCTGTTTCCTCAGCATGTAGTCTGTGATAAATGAGGCAAAAAGACACCCAGGGGATTCACTGTTGGGTTGATCTTTGAACCCAGGGTCACTAGCCATTCTGCCGCCTTACCTTTCAGTGTTCTGATGTTTGTTTCAAATGTAATGTTTAGGGATCTTAGTTGTACTGAATGTGGAGGAATTGGGAAAGGACATCTTCTCCAAAGCTGGGGAATCCTTTTTTTTTTTTTTTTAATTTTGTTCTAATTAGTTACACATGACATCAGAATGAATTTTGATTCATTGGACAAAAATTGAGCACAACTTTTCATTTCTCTGGTTGTACATGATGGAGCATCACAACATATGTGCAGTCATACATGTGTCCATCTCATTCCACCATCTTTCCTGCCCTCAAGCACCCCTCCCCACTCTCCCTCCCCTTCGCCCAAAGTCCCTCCATCCTTGCCATGCCCTCCCTCCCTCCATTATGGATCAGCATCCACTTATCAGAGAGAACATGAAGCCTCTGATCTTTTGGGATTGGCTAACTTCACTTAGCATGATATTCTCCAACTCCATCCATTTAACTGCAAATGCCATAATTTTGTTCTCTTTTAATGCTGAGTAATATTCCATTGTGTATATATACCATACTTTCTTTATCCATTCATCGACTAAAGGACATCTAGATTGCTTCCACAGTTTAGCTATTGAGAATTGAGCTGCTATGAACATTGATGTGGCTGCATCACTATAGTATGCTGATTTTAAGTCTTTTTAAAAAATATTTATTTTTTTAGGTGTAGATGGACATAACACAATGCCTTTATTTTTATGTGGTGCTGAGRATTGAACCCCGGTCCCGCCCGTGCTAGGCCACAATCCCAGCCCCGTRATTTTAAGTCTTTTGGGTATAGACCKAGGAGGGGGATAGCTGGGTCAAATGGTGGTTCCATGCTAAGTTTTCCAAGRAATCTCCATACTGCTTTCCAGAGTGGTCACACCAATTTGCAGTGCCACCAGCAATGTTTGAGTTGACGAATCCTTTTAAAAAGATGCTTTTGCAACATGTTTTTGGAGGCATATGTGTGAACATACCTCATAAATCTTATACCAAGAATCTATCTTCAGAAATTGCCCCAAATAAGCAAAGGCATTTACATGTTCACTATGATTTTCACTAATAATGAAAATTGCAAATGATTTAATTACCAACAATTGGAGAAGGATTAAATATAGTATGTAGACTTTAAATACAATTAAAAAGACTATGACAGAGAAAAACTGTTTAACATGTAATATTAAAAATAAGAAAAATCGAGCCAGGTGTGGTGGTGCACACCTTTAATCCCAGCAGCTTGGGAGGCTGAGACAGGAGGATCTTGAATTCAAAGCCAGTTTCAGCAAAAGCGATACACTAAGCAACTCAGTGAGACCCTGTATCTAAATAAAATACAAAATGGGTCTGGAGATGTGGTTCAGTGGTCCAATGCCCTGAGTTTAATYCCCAATACTTCTGCCCCTGTACCCCAAAAGAAAAATCAATAATATAGCAACATTAAAACTTAAGGCTTTTCTATGGTAAAAGAAAAAAATCTCCTTATTCATACTTCTACAATAAATGAAACACTGGGAAAAATATTTGTGACATAATATAAGGAACATTATATGTGTTAGGAATAGTAACCTATTACATAAATTTGTATATATTATAATTTACATATATATTATTAGTATTATAATTTATATATAATATATATAATATATATAAATTTGTATATTAGGTTACTATTCCTAATATACACTGAGCTATTAGCAATCAGTTAAAATGAAAAACATTCCAAGAGGAAATTAATAAAATACATGAAATAGAAAGGAAAAACTACTTTAATATATTACTATAAAAGACATGTAAATAAGAACAATATGGAAATTTTTTACTTCAGTGTTAGAAAAGATTGAGAATATTGACTGAACTTGGTGTTAGAGTGTGAGGAAGTAACTAGTGTCATATACTATTGGCAGAAATATACTTGGTACCACTCTTGGAGGGAAATCTGATATAGGTTTACTTTTTATTTTTTTGGCCAGATAATTATATTTCTAGGAATTTTTCCTGTATAGATAAATTTACACTACTCAAAATAAAGTCAGAGTATTGCTATGTCTAATAAAAAGTGGGAAGTTGGTGGGATTTTAAGTACAACAACTATGGAAATCAGTATGGAGGTTTCTCAAAAGATGAAGCATGGAACCATTGTATGACCCWGCTTTACCACTCCTTSGTATTCCTCCTAAAGAATTAAAGTCATCATACTGTAGCCATACATGCATACCCATGTTTATAGCAACATAATTCACAATAGCCAAACTATGGAATCAGCCCAGGTGTCTACCAATGGATGAACAGATAAAGAAAATGTGGTATATATACCCAATGGAATTTTTTTTTAGCTATAAAGCAGAATAAAAATTATGTCATTTGCAGGAAAATGGATGGAACTTGAGAACATTATGCTAAGTGAAACAATCTAAACCCAGAAAGTCAGGGGTTCTATGTTTTCTCTCATACATAGAAGCCAGAGAGAAAAAAGGAAAAGAAAGGTGTGTGTGTGTGTGTGTGTGTCGGGGGGAGGTGGATTTCAAGAAATTTGAAGGATAGAGCAGAGGAAAGGGACTGGGGTGGGAGGGAGGGAAAGGAGAAATTATATTGGCTAAAATATACTGTTATATTGTATGCACATATGAATACATAACAAACAACAAATCCCACCATTATATACAACTTTAACGCACCAATAACAATCTAGAAAAAAATTAAAAAGTAGGAACCCAGATCAATGCCCACCAATAGAGATCTGGTTAAGAAAGTTATAKCATGTATAAGTACAAAAAAGATATATATGCGTGTGTGTGCAGATATAAATTCAATTTATATCTGCTTTCATTTTCATATATCTTTGAGAAAAATGTATATTGTATTTCTATATAAAATCCTTACTTTATAGACAGAGAAATCAGCACAGAGAGACTGAGTAATTTGTTAAAGAACATATGGAAATAGGGTAGTACTTGGGGGTTTAAATGGRGAAAACTATTTTATATTCACTTATGAATATGTCAAAATGAACCCCACAATTATGTATAACTATAATGCACTAAAAATTTAAAGTCAGAATACACCCATCTATTATAATGCAAATGATCCATATAAAATTATATTGAAGGGTATTTGTTGACATGCTAACATGTTCACAATGCATTAGAAAAGTTCGTTAAAAAGCAGTATTTGATAAGTTCKCATTTTTGGAAATAAATGCTAAAATGCTAAAAGAATAAGGAAAAGAACTAGTGGACAGGGGTAAGGTTGGATTTGAACCTATTCCTGAGCCTCCAGTACTTGATCTCTGACTCACCAGCCAAACAAGGAATAAGAAGTGTGTGTGAGGGGGTCTTCATTCTTATTCAAGTGTTTTTTCCCACAATTTTTACTTTATTAGCTAATTGTTCAGTTCACAGCTTTGCTTTGTTTAGGCAAGTTAAGGCTCTTTCCATAGTTGAAGCAGATAATTAGTTCTTGATTGACTAATGATTATTCTTTGTGAACTGTTTCTGTAATACTGATAGTAAGGATGGCATAGAATAGACCATGGCTTACTTACTATGTAAAGCAAAATTCTTTAAATGAAAAAGGAAGATGGCTATACCAAAGAGAAAGAAATGTTGGCATTGGTACCCTTCCCACCGACCAGAGTTGTACAACATATTAGAATACAGAGGCATAATTAGAATGAATTGGTACCAATGACCAAATGGATTGCACATAAATTCTGCTTATGAATGTCATATAAATGTTGGGTTATACATCTTAGAGTTCCATAAATATTTTAATTTTGCCTATTTCAAATTCYATCTTTTATTTCTGTCAATTTTTAGAGCTCATGCACTTTGTGTTACRTAATAGGAATTATTATTTCCTTGATGGAATTTCCACTCCATCCACAATTTGGAAGAGGGCTAGAGCTAGAGAGAMCTTTCAAATATTGAGAAGAAAAAGCATCTGCCCTCTGGGAGCCACGGTCTAGTGGTGATCACAGTGTTAACCAGAGTGCTCTGTTTGTGCTGGGCGTGGTGGGCTGGGGCAGCTGCTTTTCAAGGTTACAGCCTGCTCACCTGTCTCGCCCCTCTCTTCATTTATAATAAAGGCAAAGAAGATCTATGAGCAGAAATGCCGGGACAAAGATGAGGCAGAGCAGGCTGTCCACCGGAGCGCCAACATGGCAAACCAGAAGCAACAAGAAAAGGTACCTAGGCGGGCCCACAACATGATAAATCTGAGATTTACATCTATTAGTTWAAAGCCAGCTTAAAAAAAATTTTTTTTGGTGGTCCTGGACATTGAGCCCTGGCCTTTACATGAGCTAGGCAAATGTTGGACCACCAAGCTATGTTCCCTGCCCCTTTTTTATTTTTTTTTATTTTGAAACAGGGTCTTGCTAAGTTGCTCAGGCTGGCCTTGGACTTGTGATCTTCTTGCCTCATAAACCCAAGTACCTGGGTTTACAGATGTCTGCTACTGCACTGGGCCTAAGAATTTTAATTTAGAAATGGACCTGTATCCTAAGGTTAAGGCAATGTCTTCCCTTAATTYATGATGATCTTCTGACCCAGAAAAACCCTTGTCCCATTTTTGGAGTTGGGGAAAAGAGCTAGCAAAGTATGGCCATAGGGGAACAAGAGGTGGCATTAGAGGTCTGATTTTGTTCACCTTTTTAAAAACTCAAATTTTGTTGTTAGGCCACCTCTTGCTTGGGTGGATTAGAAATGTAATTTTATAAAATATTAGTATAAGATTGTCAGCCGGAGGGTAGGAGTATGTCTTTAGGAAGGCAGGGGCAAGATGCTTTATGATTCTTTTCTAAGGGTGAGAAGATTAAAGAGCAGGTTGAATGATTTGCTCCCGAGGGACTAGTCTCACCTTGTCAAAGTCATTGCTTTTACATCTCTTTTGCCAGGTCCAGTGTTCCTGATCTCTTGTTCTTTTCTTTCCCACAGCTCTTTGTGAAACTGGCAACTTCCAAGACTGCAGTAGAGGACTCTGGTGAGGGAGCTGCCCCCACCGATGGGAAGGGTGGGTGGTGGGGTTTGTGTTATCCTAACCTCTGAGAAAAGTACTTTTACAACCAAGAACAGATGTATATAAAGCAGAATTATCCAAACGTCAGAAGTGAAGAAGGAAGGTAAGGCAAGGCATGTCGGGATGTTGGYGAGGGGAGGAAGGAAGAGCAGACCCCAGGTAGGTGGTGGAAGCAGGTCAGGCCTAGATTCTGGCCACTGTCTGCTGAGGTCTTGCTGTGTGAGACCTGAGTGAAAGGTAGGATGGGTGGGGGGGAGACATGTAGCAGCTGCTCTGTAATCAGGTGTGCACTGACTTTTGGGGACATCTATCTAAAAACCTGTTTCAGCCCTGGTAGCCCTTATCTGCTTTGGAAGAATCAGCCAAGTAGCACAGAAATCTAATCAGGTGCTTGTGAAGGCTTCCACTTCCCAGAATATCCTGCAGGAGATAACATGTTATGAGGAGGGTCACTTAGGAAGCCTCTAAATCCAAACTAAAAGTGTCTTAGTGCTCCTTTGGGACTCAGGAGAGTTTCTTTTGCATCTCTTGTCTGATGGTTTTCCTGGAAATGAAAATTATGGAAACCATTGTAGTAGACAAAGGAAACCCCGGTTGAGGTTCCTCTTCAGCTTTCACTTCTTTCTTGGGGCATTTCTTGCTCAATGTTTGGTTCAATGTTCAATGAAAGTGACACCCATCTTTGCTTATCTCACCAAGAGGTTGTGAGGGTGAAAGGTGTAATTTTGGTCTTYCAAAGTTCAGAGCTCCTGGGGACTCTTCAACTCCATGCAAGTCTCATGAGCCTGTCTAGTCTGAAGTGACACTCCTCTCTTCTTTTGCAGACAAAGCGTACATGCAGCACGTCCACACGCTGGATAAGGTCCGAGAGGACTGGCAGAGTGAGCACATCAAGGCCTGCGAGGTAACCGGAACCGGAAGCTGCTCAGGGCATGCCTTCGGCCTACAACCTGTAGACTCTGCCTCTTATTATAGCACTCCAATTCTCATTCCACTAAAAGCTTGAGAGTGTTGGAAATTAGGACTTTCAGTGATGAAGGGAAGGAATTAAAATACTTTCTTCCAGGCCTCATCTTTCAGCTTCCTCCTCATCCTGACCATGCTGTCCAACTCTATCTGGAGCTTCAGTCTAAGCTTTGGTCAGTGCAGGCAAGAACCAGCTGAATTGRTGAATGGTTGGCTGAGTCTACTAATGAACATTGAGAGCCTTGCCCGTACTGGCTGGGTTCTATGGGGAATGCAGATAGCTGGTGAGCGGGCTTTGAAGTTGTTTTTCAGTTTCACCAGTATCCCCCTTTCATGTTCAGCACATGACCTCGTGATTTCCCAGAAAATTTTAAAAGATATAATCCAGAAACTTCCTCAAGTTTCTGTCCCCTTGTCTGGAAGTTTCCTTACCAGTGGTTGTCCAAGTGTGGTTTTAGGACTAGCAGCATGAGTATCAACTGGGAAATTGTTAGTGATGTAGAGTCTCAGACCAAGCCCAGACCATTAGAGTCAGAAACTCGGGGTCCAGTGACTTCTGTGAATTCAATATGAGAACCACTGATCAATAGCTCCCCTTCTCCTGTCAGAAGTGAAAAAGGGTGGCTCCCTGCCCTGTTGAGATCTTATCCCATCTAGTTGGCCTTTTCCCACCCCCTTGGGCATAGCTCTTTTTAACATGAATGGCTGCTGTCTTGTCTGCAGACTCCGTAGTTCCTAGCTTTACATTCCACCAGCTTTTGTTACCCTCTGTATTCTCTCCAGTGCTGAGCCCTGGCTGTGAGTTTTGAAGTTTTATTCTAATCCTTGTCACAGCCTAAGGTTTGCTTCCCTGCAGCTGCTCCCTCTTCTCTCAGAGGTCACCAAAGATCTCCTTGGTGTGAGGTCCTTTGGGCCTTTGTACCATTCCATTTTACTTTTTTTTTTTTTAGTTGTAGATGGACAGAATGCCTTTATTTATTTGTTTATTTTTATGTGGTGCTGAGGATAGAACCCAGTGCTTCAGCATACTAGGCAAGAACTCTGCCACTGAGCTACACTTTTTTTATTTTTACTGTTTGTGGTACTAGGGTCAAACCAAAGCCTTGTGTATACTAGGCAAGTGCTCTATCACTGGACTACACCCCAGCCCAGCCTTTGTGGTTTCTAATGTTTGTTTTTTGACCTCTCTCTACCATTTGATACTGTTGGTCACTATGTCACCACTAAAGGACTTTTTTTCTGCTTTATTTTCCTAACTCCACACCCTCATGAAAAGCCTGGAATGAGCCCATTTTTATATGATTTAAAAGTTGCCAAGTCATATCACATACATTTCATAGATGCAAATGTACTACTGAAATCTGCTTGGGAATGATAATATCTAGGTCATCTCTGGGGAACTGAAGAAAGTGATAGATATTGGGGAAGTCCCACAGGGAGTTCACCAAAATCTGATGCAAATATGGCCCCCAAATGGTCTGGGGTTGTGGCTAAGCTGTAGAGTGCTCGCCTAGCATGTGTGAGGTGCTGGGTTCCATTCTCAGCACCCTATAAAAATAAATAAGTAAAATAAAGATATTGTGTCCAATTACAACTAAAAAAATAAATATTTAAAAAATATTCTGACAGAGCTGGGTGGTTGGTATGTGGGTATTCACTATTTTGCACTCTATGATTCTATATGAAATATTCTATCATAAAAATACAGGTGAAATAATGCATTTATTTCAAAATACCCAGGTAGTAGGGTAGTTGGTAGTGATACCAGTAAAACAGAATGAGTCTTGGGTTGATAAATGTTTGGTGATAGATACACAGGGACTCATTATACTATTCTCTCTATTCATGTATATTTCAAGTTTTATATTATAATTATTTTTTTGTAGTAGGGATTGAAACCGAGATGCTTTAGCACTGAGCTACATCCCCAGTCCTTTCATCTCCCCACCTCCTCTTTTTAAATTTTGAGATGAGGTTTTGGTAAGTTGCTGGAACTTGGTCTGGAACTTGAGATCCATCTGTCCCAGCCTTCCAAATAGTGGAATTGAAGGTGTACATTACTGTGCCTCGCTCAAGTTTTGTATTACAAGAAGCCTAAAAAATGTAGTAGCTATGACATTCAATGTTTTAAAAAATGTTAATACATACAACACTTACTGTTGAATAGAACATCATCCACTTTGTTGAATAGCTTGATTTTTCAAAAGTTGGCATTTGCTTATATCCAAACACTGTTGCTTAGGCAGTGACTTTTATTTTACCTTTTTTTTTATTATGGAAAAATTTAAACATACCCTAAGACAAAAAAACAAGTAAGAGAGCCCCCATGTCCTCATCAACTAGCTTCAATAATTATGACAGTTTTGCTTGTCAAATTAGTAGGAGGGGAGCGTGGGGGCTCTGGCAGGCTACACGGGTGGACATGTCCATAAGGCATTTGGAAATGTCTGCTGGAACTCAGGCTAGAACACTGTTGTCTCTGGTCATCATTATGTCTTACCTTCAGAACTCTGTCTAGCCCTGTTTATGTTAAAATGTATCAGGATCCGTTTATGTTGTTAATGCTGAGCTTCTTCAGTGGTGGTGGTGGGGGAGTACCCCATGAGACAATAAGCTTACAGACAATTGAAGGTTGACACTACTTAAGTCACATCTAGTCTAAAGGATGGCTTCTTTGTTTGCATATGTATGTACAAATAACTGTCTTTCTGTAGGTATTGGAGGCTCAAGAATGTGAACGAATAAACTTCTTCCGGAATGCACTGTGGGTACATGTGAATCAGCTGTCACAACAATGTGTCAAAAGTGATGATGTAAGTCAGAGGTTCTAGGGAGGACTGTGGCTCTGTGTACTGGGTTCATTAGATGGAAAGAACCCTGGGGGCTTATTAGTTCATCCTCTCTCCCTGCTCCCKTGGAGAGAGGCAAAGTGACTTGCCCAAGGCCACACATTGACTTCATACAAGTGCCCAGAAAAACATGCAACCTGCCTGACTCCTGATCCATGACTTTCTAATTAAGACATTCAGAATTAAGGCAGGAGAGCAGAGAAGGGAACCCAAAGACAGCTTAATGGATGGAAGACAGATGTCACAGCATGAATGTGAGTCCCAGAGACTGCTGCAGTCTGTAATAAGGTCACTCAGGATAGCACCAAGTATTGCAGACTGACCTGTGCCCAGGCTGATAGTCCCTGCAGGGATGAAGATGTTCTTCACCTGTATTTTCATGGCCATTGTCTAGGATTTACTTGTGCACAGTCATTTCAGGTCCCCAGATCTCAGAGCATCACCTCAGGTTATCACAAATTTCTTTGTTGAGAAATAGCCTTTCTTACCCTCACTTAGACGACACACTCACTTTAAAAGAATGTCTCAAAACCCAGAAAACCCTTAGAATTGAATGGAAGAATTTTTCTTTAAGGTAGGCAATTGTATTTGTATGTGGTGTTGGTGTTGTATCATGGGACTTTGTATCTAGTTTTTTGTAATATAGTTTTTTTTTTWAAAAAAAMCAATTTACAGCCTAAATTTTTGTCTTGACACAAAGATACATTTATTTCCTGGAATATTTTTTAAAAATTGAATAGCACATATTCACAAAAACCATTATATTAGTCTGGGACCTGGGAATGTTTTTTGTTTCTTTTCAAAATTTGGAGTCAGCCATTCATCAAATCTCTTTTTKTGTGTGTGTGCTATAGGGGCTTGAGTCCAGGGGCACTCTACTACTAAAACTACACCTCCCAGGCCTTTTTATTTTGACACATGGCCTTGCTAAATGGCCCAGACTGACCTCTAACTTGTGATCCTCCTGCCTCAGCCTCCTGAGTGACACCATGCCTGGCTCAAATCTCCTTTTCTTTTTTGGTACCGGGGATTAGAATCCAGGGGCTCTTAACCACTGAGCCACATTGCCAGCCCTTTTTCACTTTTTATTTTGRGACAGAGTCTTGTTAAGYAGCTTAGGGTCTCACTAAATTGCCGAGGCTGGCTTTGAACTTGTGATCCTCCTGCCTCAGCCTCCCAAGTCACTGGTATTACAGGTGTGTATCCCCCCGCAACCCCCAACCATGACTGGCTCAAACCTCCTTCTTAAAGGAGCTGTGCCACAATTATTACTGACCTGCTTTTATCTAAGGATTCATCTTCTTTTTGTTAGATGTATGAACAAGTTCGTAAAACTTTAGAAATGTGCAGCATTGAGAAGGACATCGAGTACTTTGTGAATCAACGCAAAACTGGACAGATTCCACCAGGTGAAGGGGGACAGGAGGCTGGGACGGGGAGAACTGTTTAAGCCATTCTGTTAGTCTTTCCTGTCAGATGTCATTGAGTAAGACACCTGCTGAGTTAGCTTACTGACTGAAATAAAGGAACTTATAAGAGAAAGGGTTTATTCTGGCTCACAGTTTTGAGGTTCCAGTCCATGGTTGGTTTGCTGGTTCCTTTTGGGCCTATGGTAAGACAACACATCATGGGGAGAGCATGTGACAGAACAAGTGGCTCTCCTCCCAGCTGGGATATGAAAAAGTGAAGGAAGAGAGACCAGGGTCCACAATCTCCTCCAAGGGCACACTCTCAATGACCTCAAGGTGTCCTCCTGGGCCCCACTTCTCCCAATAGTGCCAGGATGTGGACCAAGCCTGTAATGTATGAGCCTTGGGGGGACATTCCAGATCCAGCCTTCAGCTTCTTAACAGTTCCTTTCTCCATGACTCTCCTAGCACCCATCATGTATGAGAATTTCTACTGCCCGCAGCGGAATGCCGCCCCACCAGGAAAGACCACAGGGCCTAACTTGGCAAGGTAACAACCAGCTGCCTTTCACATGAAGAAAATACTTTCAATAAATGTTTTTTATCATTAATATTCTAAAACATAGTCCATTCAGTTGGGCTGGGGATGTGGCTCAAGCGGTAGCGCGCTCGCCTGGCATGCGTGCGGCCCGGGTTCGATCCTCAGCACCACATACCAACAAAGATGTTGTGTCCGCCAAGAACTAAAAAAAAAAAAAAAAAAAAAAAAGACATAACAGTTGGAACAGATCTATCATTGCCTCTGCATAGCGAGGTTGCTAGGTTTTTAGAAACAGCGCTTTGAGCACAAGTGCTAAGTGGATTTTATTGGTCATACTTCAAGGAGGACTATGTCATGCCTGAATGTGATCACTATTATTCCTTTATATATCTTATACTTTTCTTATAGCAGGAGTTAGCAAACTATGGCCACTGTGAGTCAAATCTGATCTACCTATTTTTTTTGGATAGCAAGGATTGAACTCAGGGGCACCTGACCTCTGAGCCACATCCCCAGCCCTATTTTTTATTTTATTTAGAGACAGGGTCTCACTGAGTTGCTTAGCACCTCGCTTTTGCTGAGGCTGGCTTTGAACTTGTGACTCTTGTCTCCCAAGCCTCTGGTATTACAGGCATGCACCACCATGCCTGGCTGATCTGTTTTTGTAGAGTCTGTGAGTTAAGTTTTTACATTTTTAAATAGCTGAAAAAAATCAAAAGGATACTATTTCATGATATGTGAAAATCAGATGAGATTCAAATTTCAGTGTTCATGTAGAGACACATTTTGGGACACAGCCACTCTTAGTAGTTTATATTTTGTTTATGTTTTTCCACTAGAGCTGAAGAGAGTTGTGACAGAAACAGTAAATCATTTTCTACTGGGTCCTTAACAGGAAAATTTTGCTGCCTCTCCTATTATAGTTTCTGAAGGAAGAGAAACTTCTATATAAAGTCAGTTAGAAGTCTAAGCTGTTGAATTTTCTGTTTAAGTTGTAGGAAACATGAGGAGTGTTTGGGAGGGATTGCATGTTCACTATCGTATTTAAGAACACCAGGCACTGTTCACAATAATTAATGTGAACTAGAAGTTTTAATCCTTACAATGAGGTAGGAGCTGTTAGTATTTCTGTCTACGTAAGAAGATGATGATGAACAAGGAGACCGGTACATCTTGCCCATATAGCTGGGGTTTTAATCCTGCCAGCCTAGGTTGCAGGGGCAGGGCCCTGCATCCCTACCCACTATGCATCTGCCCCTCAGCACCTTATCGTGTCTGCACCTCAGATTTCAATAGGTCAGGGCTGCAGATCATTTGCCTCATCTGAGCTTTCTTGGCCCTTTAGTACAAAAACCAGAGCTGATAAGAGTATAATGTGCTTGTAAGTATGAAGCAGCAAATTATGAAAATAACACAAACTTATGTGAAGGACTTTGGTTTTCATTTCTTACAGGAGAGGACCTCTCCCAGTTCCTAAAAGTGTACCAGGTAAGCCATCAAGAAAGGCGTTTTGAAATTCTTAGGTCAGGTTTTCTTTAAGATTGAAGAGTTAAAATTTTGAAATAAGGGGTAAGAAGGGATTAAATAGGACTGAATTCCCAAGAGGATGAACTTGTATTAGAATCTCATGGTAATACCGTTGGTCACAGAGTGAAATTTGGTAATTGGTGGTTTGTTTTATAGCTTATCCAAGAGAATTTAACTACTAAAGTGACAAAAGAAACTTTTTCTTTTGAGATCTTCAAACCTGCCTTTATTGTTGTCGTGATAGATGTACATGTGCACACAAACACTTTCACTTTGATTGTATTGCTATTACTTTCAGTACAGTGGGAAAGAAAACATCATATTGTTGCAGGAAATGTAACAAAGGCTAGAAGGTTAGGAAATATTGAGAAAAGGGAAGGTTAACATCAATGACTAGGGAGACAGAGACATTACAGTATCTGATGGCTAAAAATATTGTGTAGTCCTGTGATTAAAATTCTCAAGCCTGATGATCAACCTGTTGGAGTTCTGATGTAGAGGCTTTCTCTAGAGGTTCCACTGTATAAAAGGGCTAACAAACAATGATAAAATTTTATTAAGGCTGTGGAAAACTAGATAGAGTGAAACCATAGTTTTAGTATTTGAGAATTTATAATAAATTGATATCAAAAATGAATTAAAATAGAAGCAATAATGAATGTTTGAAATATTATAAAGGACTTTTTGTCCCTTAAGAACTGTAGAAATCTCTATTTTTTAAAAATAAAATAATTATAATTATAAACAATTATTATTTAGTAAATAGACCAACAAAAAGCCTAATGAATTACTGTGTACACTTACAACCAAAAGAAACTTATTATAAGACAATTTTATCAGAGATTATTTCAACTTGGATCATGTGATACAATTCCCCCCTTTGGATTACACAGACATGTCATGTATGGAAGGTATACGTATCTGAAAGTAGGTAACTTAATATTATGTATTTTGTACACTGCTCATAATGGGATCTTTCACTGATCACACTGGTAGTCCCCTTTTCCTCTGAACTCCTAGGATTCCTCTGGGAGAACCACACATCTCAGCATTTTTTTGTTAGTTTTTTTTTTCCCCTGAATAATTACAAGATCCCTGAGGACAGGCACTTTATCTTCTCTTGAAACCCTACCTATACCTAATATAGTCCTAGGTACCTAGTAGGTCCTTAAAAATATTTACTATTTAAAGGAAAAAAAGTGTTATCTACCAGCATTCAAAGGAATGAGGGAAGAAAATAACTTTGTGTTTGAGGGCTCAGTAAAAAAATGTAATGACTGATGAATATACAGTGCTGAAATCATMTCTTTGAATAATATATTGATTTAATTTATTTCTTGTTTTCTTATAATTACCAGTTGATTATATGGGACTTAATTTTGTATATTTTTTTGTTCTTTTTAGTTATACATGATAGTAGAGTATTATTTTGTAAATTTTTGAAGATGGCTTTACTGCGGATACTAATATCTAGACTTGGATGAAGGAGTGATAATAGAGACTTCTAGAATGTTCTCTGGTTTGTAGTCATGACAGTTATAGGTTTCATTGCCAGATACATTTTCTCCTTACAAAAAGGTAGTCACCCAAATCTTTGAGTACCTTGGTTTGAAAAGAGTTAAGATCCATCATGAAAAAAACAGTTAGAATGCTGTTTTATGTTCTGTCCTCTGTAGATGACCCTGATTATTCTTTGGTTGATGACTACAGTTTGCTCTATCAATAACATAAAGGTAAGAACTTTTAATTTTCACATAGTCAAGTTGCACTGGGATTGGTGATTGTGTTTCTGAGGCCTTTGAATCCTCTTTATGACACCACCTCAAACAAACCAGGCCTTGTGACAGGCCAGCACACTGGTGGGTGTGCTGTCATTTCAGCTTGACCTCTTTGGATCCTACAACCAGAAGCTGACTGGAAACACTCCTTGTGTATTTAACAGGGTATTTCCCCTTAATTAATTATCCTATGATTCTTTCTGCTCTGGTTAAAGTCTTTCATAGCTGTTACACATCTACATTTAGGCGTGCTCATGAACAACACAACATGGCCCTCCCTGTTTAAGTCATTTAGCTTTTAGTGTCTTCTGCTTCCCTCTAAAAGGGGGGAAAAGTCAAGTAAAGAGAAGTCACTGAAAACAATGTAAATGTCATCACATCACACTTATTACATTCACCCTGGAGTCACAGGGGCCGTCCCCCTCCAGAATGTCACTGCTCTGAACCCACAAACCACAAGGATTCTTGGAAGAGCACTAGAAAGTCAGCTGTCTCATAGTGGCTGGTTCTCCTTGGCACTCAGATGCTTAGAACAAGCCCCAAATGAAAAGCAGTCTTCACAAATGTAAAAATAAAAAAATAAAAAGGGTTGGAGATATAGCTCAGTGTTAGAGCATTTCTGGGTTCAACCCCAGGACTACAAACAAACAAGAAAACAAAAAATTCAGTGAAACTCCTCATAAAGGTTTTTTGTTTTTATTTTTGTTTTGATACTGGGGATTGAACTCAGGGGTACTTGACTGCTGAGCCATATCCCCAGTCCTATTTTGTATTTTATTTAGAGACAGGGTCTCATTGAGTTGCTTAGTGCCTCACTTTTGCTGAAGTTGGCTTTGAACTCACCGTCCTCCTGCTTCAGCCTCCCAAGCTGCTGGGATTACAGGCATGTAGCACTGTGTCTGTCATAAAGCTTTTTTTTTTTTTTTTTTTTAACCCAAATGGGCTTACCTGGGCTACAACCCTATAGGCATTTAGAAGCCAWGAAAAAGTCTGAAAGGCTATATACTTGAACAGGTAGTAGTTTTCCTTTTTGTTTATCCTGTTTTCTAATTTAGCTACAAGAAGAATGTATTACTTCTTTGATGAAAGACTGTTTTGAAGGGTTGGTCTATTTGCATTTTCTTGATCTTGTTTTTTCTTGGGAATCACAAGAAGTAGGTCAGTGAGATACAGGAAATCATAAAAGAACTGGACCAGCCTCCCACCTCCTCTCACTGGCCTGGTATTAGTAATATTTACTGTCAGTTATGAAACAAAACAGGTTGTTTTGTTTGTGGTACTGGGAATTGAACCCAGAGCCTTACACATATTAGGCAAGCATTCTACCACTGAGCTACATTCCTGGCCCTTAATTTTTTTTTTTTATGTTTTGGGGGTACCAAGATTGAACTCAGGGCTACTCAGCTACTGAGCCACATCCCAAGCCCTATTTTGTATTTTATTTAGAGAGAGGATCTCACTGAGTTGTTTAGTGCTTCACTTTTGCTGAGGCTGGCTTTGAACTTGTTATCCTCCTGTTTCAGCCTCCTGAGCCTCTGGGATTACAAGCATGTGTTATGGCTATTTTTAAATTTTGAGACAGGTTCTTACTAAGAGGCTCAGACTGGCCTTGAACTTGTGGTCCTCCTGCTTAAGTCTCCTGGGTAGCTGGGATTACAGGTGTGCACCCCATCTGACACAAAACAGGATTTAACAGTGTTCTCAAGGGATTTCCTACGGTGTTCTATCCACTGAAAAGTGCTTGCAAGTTAGTACATCATACATTGCTTCAGTCCTCTAATAATACCTACTTTGTGACTTATAGTCATTTTACTGCATAGTACAGAAGCCAAATTGTCTTAATTAAATAGGAATAATTAACTAGTATCCGTTTATATTTAAATACATGTTCTTGCTTAAGAAATGTATTTCATATTTAAGCAACTTGGCTGTAAAAGGTATGGAAATTGGAGAATAAAATACTCCATTCTCTAACTAGATATATCTTTCTGGCCTACAAATAAACTGTACTCTTTACAACCCATCATCATTGCTTTTTTCTTTCATAAGCTTCCCTTTTTCTCACCGAGAGGTGCAAAGCCCTGATTAGAGACACAGAGCAAGAACACAATAAATCAATCAACGACTTGGAATTCAGAGGGGAAACCTGTTCCATTTAACACTGCAGATGATGGCTGTGGGGCAGGGCATTGGCAGTTCCAAGAGTTTCTTTTTATTTATTTATTTTTTATTTAATTTTTTTGTTTTTAGTTGTTGATGAACCTTTATTTGGTTCATTTATTTATATGCAGTGCTGGGAATGGAAGCCAGTGCCTCACACATGCAAGTCAAGTGCTCTACCACTGAGCCACAACCCCAGCCCTCTTTTTATTTTTTTAATCTTTCTTTTCTGCCCTTACCTGTTTGGGTAAAGCTTATATTCTAGTAGAATATAATAGCATTGACCCCAAACTCTAGCTCCCCAGAGTCCAAGAATCTGATGTATGAGTGCAAGATGCTAGTGCCGTCACATTTACTTGAGTTCTCTCTCTTTCAAGTAATATAATTTTAATGTTTGCACCAGCTCAATGGATAGAGGCTCGATATCTACCTGTGTAATTGACCAAATTACAGAGAATCTTAAAGAAGTGAGCCTGGTTTAGTTAATAAACCAGTTAAGCAATTTATGCAATTTATTACAATACTTAAAATAGTTTTGAGTGAAACTTTGGAATGAAAATTTAAACAGAAAGATTTTGAAATTTGTGATTTGTTCTGTGGTTGTTGATTTTAGCTGCTATTCCTGTTTCTCTCTCTCTCTCTCTCTCTCTCTCTCTCTCTCTCTCTCTCTCCTCTCTGTGTGTGT